CCTAGCCTTCCTCATTCTACCAAAAGGTCGAGAAGAGGCAGCTCAGTAGTGCTAAGTTAAAAAGCAAGAGACAGGGGTAGGCAAGAGAAACCAAGGTAAGGGCACTGCTGAAAAGGGCCTGGGGACTCAATTTGTCCGTGAAGGATGAAAACAGGGGAGTACTATTCCAAAGGAGGGATGAAAGCAATGGTACAGCCTAGGGGGTATCGCACAATACGAGGGTTCGAAGGAACCCATGAAAACTCTAAAAAAATCCATTGATACAAGAAAAAAAAAGCCTCCTGGGGCAAAAAGCGGCGTCAGCGGAATGGAGGATCGTAGCTCAGCTACATTCAGTCGGCTTTTTTCATCTCAGGGTCCGGTCTCTCCGAGATGACGGATCCCGAGTGTTCGTATTGGAATAGGAACGAGGTGGCGCGGGTTGCCGTGGTGTCGTCGTGGTCGTAGGAGTCATGTATGCATACGTGTTTGAACGCGAGGCGCTGGGCCGTGCAGGTGGTTGGTATTGTTCCTGCTGCTGATTCTTGGCAGATGGCCGTCTGTCAAGTGTACCTGCACGTCGCCTCGGTGGTGGGGGCTGGGCGAGCTGAGGCGTGTCGGTTGGCCCTGCGTGCGTGGCACGCGTCCGCGCTTTTGGAGGTAGCGTCGGCGGAATTTCTATGTCTGGACGGGTGGTACCTCGCGCTGAAGGCTTTGTGGTGGGTGTAGGAGGGGATGGAGGAGCGGGCGGGCTACCTTTTGCAGGAGTCGTGAATGTCTTCCTTGTCGGCACAGCAGCGGCCGCGACAATCGCGGCCGCAGGTGCAGAGCGACTACGCGTGTGCGTTAGGGGCGATGATGATGAATTGGACGCGTTCCGTGAGATGGAAGCAGAAGCAGAGGGTGTGACAGTTTCTGGTGTTGATTGATTTCTCCAGTGTGACTGCCTCCGGCGACTGAAAGAAGAGACAGGTGCAGGAAGTCTCGTAAACTTCTCGTCGGATGAGGATTTTCTCGGAAGAAACCACTGCGCTTCGTTGACGCGAGCATTCCACACTAATCAATGGCCGCTTGAGCAGAACTAACGCACGACGAAACTAGGACACCCACCTTGCTTGCGCCCAGCATAGGAATGTCGCATGGCAAGAACAAGAAGCCAGAGACAATACCCAAGTACTTGAGATTTGAATGCATAAGACTCTGGGCGCGCCAAGAGGTTTAGCTTCTGTCACTCACAAATAAGCGCATTAAGTATCGAAAAAGCCTGCACAATGTTCGACCATTAGAATGATACTAAGATTTGGAATGCCCATCGGAGACATACTTGAAGTGTATGGTACTGTGCATGGAACATTTCATCCGTATCTGGAGTGGAACAGTGAGTATCAGTGGAGTGGGATGGGAGCAGCGCTTGACTCTAGCTCTTACATGGACTCGGGTTCCCATCTGGCTCGTCTGGACACTCAAGATCCGGGACCTCAGCAATAGAAAGAAAAAGGCCAAGACCTAATTGACCGAACAAAACATGCTCAATGGATTAGAGAAAAAATTCGAACAGGCACGTAACGTACTGAACCAGAGTACCCCTAACAATGAGGCCAGCCCTAGTTCCCATCGGGTCTCTGTAATCGCCCAGAATCGTTCTCTAGAACCGAACCATAGACTAGAAGGTAGAGAGGAAGAAAGATGAAATTTCCATTTCCGGGTTTTGGCCACAAACAGTTCTCACACGCAGGCGCATCCGACGATGGTCGAGATCGCGCAGAATATGGAGACGGGTATGAATCGGGCTTTCGGGAATAAGAAAAAAAATGAAGGGGTTGAGATGAAATGCTCAGAGAGCAAAAGTTGGGTAGGCTTACTCACTTAATTCATTGGGCTCAATGACAGAGTTCAGGTGCGTTGCGACCCGAGGACGATAAAACTGAACAATATTGCCACGACTTGATCATGGATGAAAAGCTTCGCGTTAGGCCAACGATGAGCAAGGAAGAAGAGGGAAAGTGCTCACCAAAGACAGTTACTCGGATGATGTTAAACGCTCGCAACATCCCAGAAATGCGGGGTAAAACTCAGGAACGAACAAGGGAAGGCGTCCAGTTGGCACAAAAAGAAACGATCGCAAAAGCTTGTTCCAGGAACGGGCGTCGCAAATACCGTCAAGACAAAAAAAGAAAAATTCGATCGCAATGACCTGTCAATAAGAGAGGGAGGGGGGGAGGTGGATGAGAGAGATGATGGGGGAGTGATGGGAAAGAAAAGTGCATGGGATGGTCGTTCAAAGCGGTTTATCCAATAAGGCGGGGGTGCCGATCAAGCCATCCATACTCGGATTGGAGAGAATAAGTAGTACTCACGAGATAGAAGTTTAGAAATGAATGGCAACGGAGGCGCGCAAAATAACACTACACGCCCTCACCGCACTCCCAGCACCACGTACACTGCCCGGCTGGGTGTGTCTCTGTTAAAGGACAGGGTCGAACAATCAGCCAGCCTGGGCGTGGGCGTGGGAATCGAACACGATTTCAAATTTACTGGGCCGTCGATGTCAATAACTTGCAACAACCTTATCGTTCTTTGTGCCTATTCTAGGAAAGGAGACAAGCGGCTTACCGTTTTCACTAACGATGACCGCCCTGCTGTGGCGAGGTTACGTCCCAGCGAGGGAGGATTCAGCATGTAGCTCTCCGATGTTGACATCGCTCCGACGCAGCTGTCGTAGTACAGAATCTGTGCTACGATATTCAGAACTTGTGAGGGCGAGGGCATCGCATATCCTTCCCCGACAGTGCTCGCTCGATAACACCGCGATATTAGCCGGAGCATGACACAATACAGTGCTCAAAGTTTCAACTCCAGCGTGCAGTGTTGGCTTGGGCTCGTGTCGAAACCACGCATGCCAGTCCCTCCCTCCCACGACGGGTGTTGGTGCCTTTCTCGCCCTCATTTGAAATTAAGTGTAGACATACGTATCCCTCGTGGTCTACCTCCTCAATCAACCACCCCTAACTGAACATGTCCATTCGCGCACTAGCAAACTGCCCCTTTCCGCTACTTGATTCCGACCGGCCAGATTTGTCCCGTACTGGCCATCATTGATGACCCCCGTTATCTCCGAGCTTGGACGGATTATCGCATACGCCTCACTCAAATAGCATTCTTATACTAGCGCACTGGCTAGTCATGCGATATTAGTGTAACACCGCAGTACTGCTGCAACTATCGGGCCTACGCCCTCTCCCGGGGAACTTGTCCCACTGCTCTCCAGGCTGATATAACTGTTCCTCCAATTCGGAATCTACGTGGCACACGTTCCTGCTCCGCTTTGCTTCCCTCCCCCGATCAAGTAGCGCTACACGGGCAAGGTTGGTGTACTATTCACCTCGATCCTGTCGATCCTCGCTTGATCCGCGCTCTGTTGTCTGGACACTCTGATCACTGATAACCTAATCACCCTCTACAACTCCAACTCTATATAGGTGGAGACGGTTGTTAACCCCCAATTGAAGAAAGCTTGCGAATCTGGCTGGCACACATGATTGTTTCACCGCCACAAATTTGAATATCGCATGCGCGCGGCGATCCTTGCATTGGTCGAGAGCCATGATCCGCTGAGTCTTTTCCTTTCGCCCAGACGCTAAGTCATGTCTGCGCGATTGCCGCGATCGCCAATATGTACGTCTTAGCCGTCGTACACAGAAAATGATATAACGGTTAGAAAACGAAAATCGAGGTGTTCTGATTGGGCGGCACTTAACTGTCTTGTACAGCCGCCTCTAACCACCACGCCAAATGGGTCCGCCCATTTACGGTTACTTGTGATTATCATTGATGGTGCCTGATGGTTCTAATGAACATCTCTAGAAAGATGCAAGATGCAATCAGTTGTGTAGACAACGGTACGGAGCCATACACATTGCGCAAACACCGTGGTCCGTAGTGGCATGGTTCGAGAGTTCAATGCAATGGGATTCGAACACACATAACTTTGCGTGTGGAGCATGAAATGAAGAACTTCATGGACTGAGTATTTAGAGTATATCGGGAACATGAGATTATAGAAAGAACGATGATACGGAGCATGACTAACAACACGGAAGGAACATGCACTCAACCTGGACAATCTGCATATACATATCCATTCTCTGGAATATCTTGTCGTGGAACTCAGCCAGACTTCTTCATAAGTTAATCTTAGGCACACCAGTGGCAAGGATGTCGGGCTTCAACAAGACTTCCATCCACGAAACTAACGCCCTTTCCCCCCCCCCCCCCTTTCCTTAGTCCTGACTTTACCATCGACAATGAACGTCGATGTCATGACGAAGAAGATTTCACAGCGTTGCGCCACTGGCGCACTCCGTTCCTCACGCAGCGTATGAGAGCAGGCCAAGAATCACATCACGATCATTAAATCAACCGTGCGAACGACCTGGCTGCTCGAAGGAACTAGTCGAAAGTAAAATACACCTGCAGCACTTGATAGTCATTTGGGTGTTGGGGAAGGCATAACCCAAGATTAGCCCGAGTGAATCACATATAGGTGAACAAGAAGGGTCCGACTCAGAGGTTGCCTCCAAATCAACCGTTTCAATGCCACAGGGCGTTGGAGTGAAAAGAAGTTTGGGAAGCTTGTCTATTGACCTCCGACTCTGACTTCGGTTATCAATAAACCTCGGATTCCGCAATGAAAGCAACTAACCTCTCTGATGATTGTCTAGATGAACAGGGTGCAGAGGAGCTTTTATGGGTCCAAATAGGCGTCTGAACCTTGAAGAATGGATCAGAAATGTAAATGGAATTGAATTGTTCACTTTTTCTGGTTCAGATTGAATATATTGTGTGTAGGCCAAGTTTTGCAGCCGGGCACCCCTACACTGGCAATTCCAAGCATTCAGAGCATCGCAGATGGCAGCGCTGGGGAGAGTTAGGATCTATCAAAATGAGCATCAGCAGTCCCCCGTAAATTTCAACTTTTTTGTTTCCAAAAAATTGGCCGCCCCCCATCTTATAGTAGAATGTTAAATTTGACGCCATCGAAATTTCCGTCTCAAGCCGCAGCACCGTTCTCGTATAACTGAGGCTATATCGAGGCATGAGTGAGAGGGATGGAACAATGGTTGAAACTCGGCTCACAACGGCAGAACGGCTCTAGTGCTTTAAATTCCTCTTTGGGGCTGATCACAGGTGGCAGACCTAATTCCAATGTTAATGGGAACCTCCCTTTTTTTGGATCGCTAGCACTAAGGGAAGGTCAAGGAGGCAACGCAAATTAAGACATATGCTTTACATTTCCCCAAAGCTTTCGTAGTCCGCACAAGCTTGAGAACTTGGAGTGATGGACAAATCTTCGGGTGCAACTGCGCAAACGATGTTGGGAGAGGAAAGACCGAAGCGGGCGGGATATGCCTGCTGACGATACCGGATATTGATGTAGGCACCGAGTGTGCCCCGGAATGGGGGTTTGATATTGCAGATGGAGTTGGTGGAAGGCGATTTCAAAACATCATCTCCGACTGTAATGTCAAAAAGCTCAAGAGTGTGAAGATTGGGGACTGCCCTTAACACCTCCGTTAAGTGCAGGTTCGTAACCTTGCGTCTTCTATGTAGGGTGCGTAAAGAGGATATCTCAGAAGTGCGGTCGACGAATGCCGCAATGCTTTTTAGCACATGGAGACCTTGCTCGTCCGAGTCGTCACTCTCCCAGTTCCTGCTTGCCGTGGGCATATGTATCCACAGACTTTTCAGGTTTGGGCTATTAACGAGGTGGAGACTCAACACCATCTTATTGCACGACAGCGTGGAAAGACATAATGAGTTCAATCGATGAAGGTCAATTGATGCGTTCGGCGTCGCATCTCAGCGATGCCCTCCCAATCTTCGAGTTCGAGGCCTCCCTTGGCGAGTTTCAACATTTCCAATAAAGGGCATTTCCAGATAACGGAGATGAATTCGCCCTCAGACGGAAGCACCTTCACTACTATAGGGACAACCGCTTCAGTCCTTCGCGCGGAGTCGGAGCTGGCGCGGTTCATCAACTTCAATTCAGCCTCCGCAAAGTTGTTTGAGTTTGACCACAAGTACTCCATTGGGCTTCGCACCTCTCCAAAAACGTCGCGGGGTACCAAGCGCCGTGTCTGTAGGTGCATCAATGGTAAGAGAACCAATGCTTGAAACATGCTCACCGATAATATCCATTCCCTCTTTTGTGTGTGCTTTCTTCTTCGGGTTGTTGATGGTAAGTCTAGTCTTCAGAATAGCTCCTTTGGATCGTGCAAGAAAGAATCGTGTTAGGTTGTGAGGTTGATAGTCAGAAAATTCAATCCATGTCCACTATGAGCAAGTTAGTGGACAATTTAGATATGCGCGGGTCGAGCTCACCAGAGCAGCTGCATTGATAGCAATTGTCTGCATATTTGCGATACGAGGAGAATGAATGAGATTCTTTCGTGGAATTTCTTCTCGGGTTTGGATTCCGTCATATCCAGTTCGTGTTCAGCGCCAAGAAGAAATATGTGCGATAGAATTTCGGGCGGCATATTATTTGCTAGGCTGCGAGTTAATTTATATATTTGAGAACACGAAACAAGAAATTACCAGGAACAAGGACAAGGCTATTACGAAGGCCCCTTCCCGCGCGCATCATGCGTTACTAGAAACCAAAAAATCTAGTGAATAATGTGGAAGAAGCTCGAAACAGGCGATATCCACCCCCACCCTTCCTAGTTCTACTGCCTGTTGGTCAACCCGGTCTATGGAATGAAGAGATGTCCATCGTGAACAGGCGAAAGATTGGAGCACACTACTCGGCACTCACAGATCTACATGGCAGGCGTGAGGCGGAACTGGGGGGCGCGACGGCGCGTTGCCACATACGCCACTCGTTTCGAACAAAGCAACATAGACAAAGAGGTGAGACTCCGCACGGCGTAATAGTGAGGTGGACTCATGTGGGAAACACCCAGACTCATATGCTGTGTAAAGAACGTACGAGTGCGCCAGTGGTGCAACGGTGTGAAACTAATTTCTCATCATGACATTGATTGTCGATGGCAAAGTCAGGACTGAAGAAGAGAAGGAAAAGGGCTCAAGATGGAAGTCTCGTTCAGATGTCCTCGTCGATCCTTGCCACCGCTATGCCTGAAATTAACCCATGGAGACGTCTTGCTGAGTGCGTTTTTTTTCACAAGGGCTGCAATCCACGCGAGAATCCCACCGCAAGATCTTCGGGAGCCATGGACCGGGAACTCCTTCTCTCTACAATCTCCCGTCCCAGATATACTATACTATAAAATGCTTGATTCCATGCTTCACACGCAAAAATGATGTGTGTATTCGAATCCCATTGCATTGAGCATTGAACTCCATGCCATTATGGACCATGCAATGTGTATGGCTCTGTACCATCATCTATACAACTGATTGCATCTTGTATTGGGTCTAGCAGACTCAGCACGGTGGCAGCCGAGCACACTTCTTTTTAAATATAAGGCTATGACGCGTAAGTTCTCAGGCGAGCTACACCAGCGAGCCTGTCGCATAAAGTACAAGCCCCCAAACCTCACTTCGCCACCAACAATCTTATTCCCCCTTGCCACTCCGTCGTTAGAACCGATTGTTGATATTACAACACTTCTCGTATAGCTAAAGCTATATCGGAGCATGAGTGAGAGAGATGGAACAATGGCTAGAACTCGACTCACAACGGCAAAGCGGCTCTAGCGCTTCAAACTCTCCTCTTTCCCTACTGAAGCCAGACATCGGCAGACCTATTTCCAATGTTAATGGAACCCCCATTTTTTTCGGATTGCTAGCACTAATGGAAGCAGAGGAGGCTAAGGAGGCGATGTAAATTAAGACATGAGCCTTACATTCTTCCAAATCTTCCGCGGTAACATCAGCAATCCGCAGAAGCTTGAGAACTTGGAGCGATGGACAAATCGGGACGATCTTCGGGTGCAACTGTGCAAACGATGTTGGGAGGGGAGAAACCGAAGTGGGTGGAATATGGACACTAACGATACTAGGTATTGATGCGGACACCGAGTGCGCCCCGGTATGAGGGTTTGATGGTGCGGATGGAGTTGGTGCAATGGCGGAAAGAGATTCCAAGACATCATCTCCGACGACAATATGATAAAGCTCAAGAGTGTGAAGACAGCTGGGGACTGCCCTTAACACCTCCATTAAGTGCGGGTTCGTATGCTTGCCATCATCCCACACAGAGGTTCCATAAAAGGATCCAATGTGTAAGGTGCGTAAAGCTGATTTCTCAGAAATGCGGTCGATGAACGCCGCAATGCTTTTTAGCAAATGCACATCTCGGAAAATCTCCTCGTCGTGGTCGACAATACTATCCTGGTCCCTTATTGCTGTGGGCAGAGCTATCCACAGACTTTTCAGGTTTGGACTATTAACGAGGTGGAGAATGAACATCATCACATTCCATGGCAGCTGGAAAAGACATAACGACTCCAATCGATTCAGGTCACTTGAATGCGTTCGGCGTCGCATCTCAGCGATGCCCTCCCATTTTTCGAGTCTGAGGCCCGCGTTGGCGAGTTCCAACTCTTCCAGTAAAGGGCAATTCCGGATAATGGAAATAAATTCGCGCTCAGACGGGAGCACCTCGTTTTGCAAGTTCTCTAGGGACAACCGCTTCAGTCCTTCGAACACCGGACTGTGCCATGGCAATGATGTTCCCGACAACACGACATCCTCTAGGCCTCGTAGGGTCTGAAGATTATTGGGGGAAAGGCGTTTCTGATTTATGTTTGGTGTGATAATATCTTCCGAATCGGAATCAGAGTCGGAGCCAGAGTCGTAGTCGGAGTCGGCGCTGTCTATCAACTTCAGCCTCCGCAAAGTTGGTTGAGTCTGACCACGAGCAATCCATTGGGCCTCGCAGCTCTCCAAGAACGTCGCGAGGAGACCAAGCTGTGTGTCTGTAGCTGCATCGATGGTAAGAGAACCAACTCTTGAAACATGCTCGCTGAGAATATCCATTCCCTCTTTCATATTTGCTTCATACTCTGAGTCGTAGATGTCGGTCGAAGTAAGTTTAACATCCAGAAGGGCTCCTTTGGATCGTGGAAGAAAGAGTTGTGATAGGCTGTGAGGTCGATCATCAGAGAAGCCAATATGTGACCACTGTGAGCAAGTTAGTAGACAAATTTTGGGGAGATATGAGCTCACCAATGTGGCTGCATTGATAGCAATTTTCCTCCACCGTCTGCACACTTGCGATACGGGGAGAGTAAATGGAATTGCTCTGGGAGATCTCCTTTTTTGGAGCGGGATGCCGCCATATCCAGGCC